GGATCTGCTTTTTTCTGTCTGTCTGGCTGCGCATGCGCACTGATCTGTCTTTTCCAGGAAAAACGTCCAAAACGTACGAAATACTGTGCATAACTTTTCGTACGATTTCATACGAACTGATAATGAGAATATGACAATGCAGTTACCTTGTTCACACATCATTAATGACAGTGACAGAACTCAGTGTATTATATGATGGACAGTGTCCTGATCTTCTAAGTGTCCAAAAGTGTTCAGTATTAGGACCCACACTTTTTATTATATACATAAGGGAACTGGGAATAAACATGTCGGAAGTTAATATGCATTTCTATGCTCATGAGACGATTCTTTAGTATCTGGGATCAACTCCTGCAAAAACAATTCAATCCCTGCAGAAGGCTTTTAATGTAATTCATTACACACATCTGCAGCTAAAATTGATCCTCAATGCTGATAACATTAAACTCCTGCTTATTATAAATGGCAAGAAGGTCCCAAAGTGCTCCCCGCTGTGTCCACGTTCGAGGGAAATGTCATTCAGCTTTTTTTGTGTGTGTGTGTGTCATTACACTGTCACAAGTACAGAGCAACAAAATCAATTCTCTGCATTTAACCCATCCCCATGAGCAGCAGTGGGCTGCCATGGTGCGGCGCACATGTAGCAGTGTGGGGTTAAGGGTCTTTGCTCAGGAACCCAGAGTGGCAGTCTGTGCACTGCACAAATTATCTTAAAATGAGTAAAATTAAGGGTATTTACCCTTAATTTGAGCAGGTAAATAAGATGATTTGCCAATGGAATTAGTATTTTTACTCTGAAAATAAGTTATCTAGATAAAATGCACTTGAAATAAGACAATGCAATTGTTTTTACTTATTTGAAGTGAAATTGTCTTGTTCCATTGGCAAAGTGTCTCACTTAAATCCTTAATTCAAGAAAAAAATGCACATATTTTAAGAAGAAATTACTTATTTAGATTTCATTATTTTGCAGTGTGGGAGTGGGGCTTAAACTCATATCCTCTGGATTCCAAGCGCAATATCCTAACCACTAGTCCGCTCCCCATGGTTTTTCATCTGTATAAATATCTATGCATTTTAGTTGATAACTTCCTCACTTTCAGTCGCCATATAGAAAATTTTGTGTGGAAACCAAGAAGACTTAAAGTCTTTGTTGATGCACAGCAGCTGAACCTGATAAACCACTCTCTATCCTTCATTCTCCACCCTCCTCATCATCATCTGTAAATGACAGGGGATTTCTATAGTCACCTTTTTTCAGTTCTTGCTGCTTCCAAAAATTAACCCATTTTAATCTGAAGCCTGTTATATCACTCTTCTTTCACATTACCAGTGGGTGTTTGATTATGAAACCTGACCATCCTTCCTCTGTGTGTCTGACCTTTTGTCCGCCTTTTCTTTAAGTTGTGCTACAGTAGAAATCATGGCATCCTCCAGAGAGACTGAGCTGTGATGCATTCACTGCAGTCTGGAGGTTTTTCTGACCTCAGTCAAATTACGTGAAACAACCTCAGAGGATCTGCTGATGCTGTCTTGATGAACCAACAGATAAACCTGTCACTATGTTGGTTTGTTGTTATATTTAAGTTTAATTTGGCAAAGCAGAATCTTAATCTGGAGCCAGTACTGATGGAAGCAAGCAGACGGGGATGGAAATCCAAGGAGACACACGAGACGACAGGAATAGCAGATGTGCTTGGAAGACATTTAGCGACTCTGACAGCAAATGAAGTCCGTCCAGGCTGAACACGCACTGCCGCACACATATCATTCACTTTCACATGTGTTCATATTCAGGATGTTTGTTAACAAAAAAAGCACTTCCACTTCATGTGTGAGACAGTCTGAGTGTTCCATCGTCCTGGTGAACCCGTGAAAAGTGGCTCTGGCT